GCCCGGAGAATTAAATAAGCTTAAGGGCATACAGTTTTCAATTTCAAGCTCCTAATTAGTGATCAGTAAATACTGATTATAATAATAATTATTATCGTTATTATAACCTTTACCGGAAATATTTGGCTTTGCACTTAAGAATTGAAAACTGTAAGAGCAGAACAAATCTACACTTATGTACTCATATGATTATCTCCGTGTATCCAGAGACAAAAGTGCACCTTATCCACACAAATATTGGATCTTAGAAACCCAAAGTCTTTATTCCAAGCGTGAGTAGGAGCGCTAAGAGATATGAAATTGGGAAGTAATCCGTGACTTTCTCTGGGATCACCTCAGCGGTACACTTAGTTTTATGTTGACTATGTTTTTGTAGAAAAAGCTTCTAAAAGTTGCTGGGCAAGCTGTGAAGACAAAGTAGGAGGGTACAGTTTCCCCCAACGTCACACACACACAAACACAGCGCAGACTCACACACTGTCAGAAACAGAATTGCATCTCTTCTCTGAACAGCACAGCCAGCTCTTTGTAAGCCCGGCCTGCTGAATTTGCTGGAATGTTCCCATTCACCGCAGCACATTTCAAAGTGGGAAGGAGGAGGGTGTTAAAATAAGAAAGTTGTCTTTGTTGCCTGCTCTGAGCCAGGCATATGCTAAGGACCACTGGAAGCAGGCAGGGGCTTTCACGGCCTAAATGAGACCCCCAAAGACCCTGGGAGGTCCTGATCATCTGTCATTGCCAGGGACAGGGACAGACCGGAGGCAAGGTTCCCAGGCAGCTGCTGTGGCTACACGGGCTTATTTTTGCCTGGCATAAACAAGGGTCAATAACACATCTTTCCCCCGTGTGGTGTCAAACCACACACACTCAGGAAAATGTGTGTCCCCATTTTAAAAGAAAAAGTTTTATGTTTCCTTGCTGTGGAAAAAAAAATACTTAGGAGGGAAAATAGGTGTGAGACCAAAGAATATATAATTTTATTGCTTTGGCTGATGAGAAGTTGGAATGCCCTTTGTTGAAATTAAAGGAGAAATAGGGGAGCCTCGAGCTGGTTTCTGGAGTCCTTGGTCACCTGACACAATGGACATCTCTGTCAAGATGGCCACTACAGTATGATTTAGAGGTGGCAATTGTTATGTCCTGGGCTCAGGTGGTGCAGGGCTGGTCACTGACGCTTTGGCCTGGAAATGGAAGAGGAAGGCCATTTACCAGCGTGGCATGAGGCTAATGAGGGCAAGTGTGGCCACTTCTATATGCGAGGATGCTGGTCCCATCTGGTCTCCCGATAAGGATGGCAGCAGTCTAAGCGGAGGTTCAGCTTGTGTGGGGAGCTCCCATTGGACTTTCAGAAGATGTTCCATGTGAACCTTTCTTTCTTTCATTGCAAAGGTTATCTGCTACTGTTGTTGATGGCACCGTGGAGATTCTTTATGTCACTGTTGTCCTGAGGCTTCTTAGAGCTAAGGAAATCCCCTAATCTGAGGAGGCCATTCTCTGCTTTTCTTATAGAGCGAATTCCACAGCAAGCATTCTAGAAAATTCCAACTGTGCTTATCTCTGCAGAGGGGAGCAGCTTTCCTGTCCCTTACCTGCCTCTGCTCATCTTTAACTAGGGACAGAAACCAAGCCTCCCAAGGCTGACTTACTGGAGAAAGAAGCATTATTGCAGAAAAAAAAAAAAAACATCAGGACAATCAGCCTTTCTAGTAGTTTCTGAATCAGGCAATTCACTTTTTCTTATTTCTGTCTGCTTGTTCACTGTTTTTGTCGGGCAAAAATAACACACTTTGTTCTGTTTTAATCTTATTTGCCTAAATTTAAAATTAAATTTACCTAAAGTTAAAACCTAGAAAAAAATAAGTGAAAAGAAAAATAAGGGCTAAAGAAAAATAAATAACAAATAAAACATTAATGTAGCATGTGGCTTTTCTCAGGTCCCACGTCCAGATTCCTAAAGTAATGAAGCAGACACAGGACTTTCTTATTCTGTCCTTCCTGCTCACGTTTTGCACTGAGACAAGCCTAGTCCATTTCTGCTGCACCTTAAGCTCTTCCTGGGTTCCTGTGGAACTTTCCACGCAGGACGCTTATTACCTGGATGCCTCTCATAACTACCAGAAACATTTCCAGCAACATTTAAAAAAAAATACAGGCAGAATGCAATGTCTTGCATCACTTGCAACAGACAGGCGTTTCTGTGTTAATGAAGTCCTTAGGATCTCATTGCTGTAAGGGGGTCTCTGCCTCTGTTCACACCCATTCTGCAGTTCCAATGAACACACTGCAAGAACCTTTGCTGCGGGGCCCACCTTTGAGTTTACAGAGATTAATGATCATAAAATTGACTCTACAGGCCACTGGTAAAGAAATTGACCATATCCAATTTTGAAAGGTCTGAGACCCCAAAGAAACTGCAAATTAGCAGTGAAAAGGTGATGTTCATGGTGATGGGGAGCCCACGTTGGAGTGTTGCAGAACTGGGTGGGTTAGGTTAGTATTGTCATTCTAGGTCAAAGGTCAACCTGAACATGATCTCTGCAGGCACTTTTGGGCCTGGGGAGGGATTTGCAGTTCCTAAAGAACGGAGTTTATAACAAGATGTTTACTGGTGCGCTAGCTGTGTAAGACACTAGAGAAAAGGAAGTAGTGATGGCCGTAACCTCCTTCACGATGAAGAAACAACAGTCCCCAAAACACTAGTCCTGGTAGTAGCAGAAGGGTAAATACCTATGAGTATTCGCTAGGGTATATAGAGTAAGTCACACATTTAATATGTACTATTTGATGATTTCTCACCGGAAGTCAAACAGGACACATTGTTACTATCATTCCCATTGTGTGGAGGTGAGGGAGGAACCTGATAAAGCCGCTGCCATCCTTCCTTTATGTGATCACAGCTGCAGGGAGGGGAAACCAGGCCTGGAAGATTTTCCTTGTCTGAGAGTCTCTCAAGAAACATCTCCAGCTCCCCAGCTTATTGGGGAACCTTCTCTGTTTTTGTTTTATTTTTGAAACATGGTCCCATGTCTCCTAGACTGGCTTTGAACTCCCTATGCACCCAAGGATGTCTCCAACTTCTACTTGCTGAGTGCTGGGATTAGAGTCTTGTAGGAATGGTCCACCATGCCTGGTGATTGTGTGAGCCAGGGAAGCACTGTGCCAGCTGAGCCTAACCCCTCTCCCCCGCAAAAAACCCTGTTAACACCTCACTTAAATCTCTCCTCCTGCTCATCCAAGCTCTTAGCTACCATTTCCCCTGGTGCAGTTGGTAGCTTCATCAATTTGAGTCCTTTTCCCTCAAAGGAAAACACAACTGCTTTCCCGTCCCGCACCCCGCCTTCGGTTAGCATTTCAGGCTCCCATCAGCAGCCAAGGTGGGGATGGGGCTTCATACCACAACTTTAGGGGCACCTTCCTGACTGACACAGGTCATCTGTGGTGCCCATATATAATCTGACGAGATGCTAAGGGGCAAAGCACTGAGGAGGGACATGGGGAGTCCTGTCTCCTGTTCTCACGCCGCCAATCTCCCCGCAGGGTGCTGCAGCGTGGCATTTAAAATCCAGCCAAGAGAAGACTGTACATGTATTTTCTAAGGCTAGAGCTGCACAAGCAGGGGTGTGGGGGCATGGGTGATGGGGTGAGGGGAGGGTGGGTCGGGGGCAGGGGGTATTCCCCATTGCAAGGGTTTGGGGGCACGTGCCATTTTAAAGACCCACTTTGCAAAGCCTGGATTTCTTGTTGCTGTCCCACTCCCCGCCCTGTTGACCATTTCCCTGTGACTTTATTCTCGACAAAGCCACTCTTAAATTGAACATGTGCTTTACAATAACAAAAGCTAAAGAGTCGTGTGTGTTCTCGATTGATTTTCAATTTCTTTTCAAGGGAAAAGAAAAAGATTAGCTCAGAAGAAGAGCCATCAAAAACAGAGTGTTCTGCCTCCTTTTCTCCCGCAGACACGGGGCTTTGTTTGGTTCTTGGTAATTTTCTTTTTGGAGTTTTAGCACCTATTTTGAGCTGCCTTCCCCCGGGCTACCCCTCAGTCTGGCTTAGCATCCTCAGTCTGGCCAGTGTCCAACTGCCTCTTGCTTGTGTGACACATTATTAGAAAAGCAAAAGAAGCTTTTCATCATGAATGCATCAATAAAATGCTGTCTCATTGTGCTCCCCTGCCTTTCCATCCCCCTGCCCCGCTCCATTAACTGTCAGGGCAACATGGATACCAAAGGCTAAATAGCCACACCAAATGGAGCTTCCTCAAGCTGGGAGATCATAAACTAGAACAGATAAATGGCTTCCTCTGTCTTTAGTTGGCAACCTTATCAGTTTAAGAAGTCTGATAAAATGGGAGACTTGCTCTTCTACCTCATGGAAAACGGTATCACCTCTTCTTCTTCCTCTAGACATGTTACAGATCGTCTAAATCTGAATATGCGAGACATAAGAACCCAGAGTTCTGTTCTCTGGTTTATCTCTATAGCAACTGGAGTGCAGTGCTATCTACAGAGGAGCCACTCGATGCATGTGTGCAGCTTCCGCCCAGATGCTGCTGCAAGTCTTGGGTGATACCAAAGAGATGAAGAGAATGATGTGCACAAGAAGAAACTAATGGGCTATTGCCGACGCCTGAGCTGCCTGGTGCCTGAGCTGCCCGAGGATGCCTGGACTGCCCGTGGACGCCTGAGCTGCCCGAGGATGCCTGAGCTGCCCGAGGGTGCCTGAGCTGCCCGAGGACGCCTGAACTGCCTGAGGACGCCTGAGCTGTCAGATGCCACACGGGCCCACACCAGCTTCTAATTTCTACAGAAAACTTAAGGGGGAATCCCAATGAACGCACCAGAAAGAGAATGTTTCTGAAACACATTAAGTTATATAACCAGAAGTGTAATTGTTTTTACAAATGAGAGAATAGGGGAACTGTGATCTAAATTCGATCTCATTTAATTTAAAACTATGCTTAAGCACAAATGACCACAATGGAATCAACAGAACCGAGGAAGTGTTTGCTCACAGGGGCTTGGGCGTGGGAGGAGTTGAGGTGATGGACGTAGAGACGTTTCCGAAATCCATGTGTACGTCCTGTAGCCTTGCAGCCATGGCATCGACCTGCTTCTTTCCAAGTCTGCAGTGAAGTCTAACAAGGGCTGAAAGCCTCTAGCTCTGGAAACAAAGCCGCAGCCAGGGATGCATAAGGAACATGGAAAAGGCTTTTACCAATTAGATCTGCCCCGAGGACCATAGACTCCACGTTCAAAAGGAAGTAAACAATGCTAACTGCTTAAAGAAACCCCTGGAATGGAAAGGCACAGACATAACTGTTGGAGATTCAGCTCAATGCCACAGACAAGATGCTGAACATTTCCCAGCTCAGGTTCTTCCGCCGTTGAGCTGACATCAGGTGTCAGCTGCTGGCCTTGGGAAGAGTCTTTGGAATACAGTGGGTGAAGTTTATAATCTATGGCCCTCTGGGGTTGTGGCAGTTGGGGTAGCGGGATGTATTCATTACCTAAGATTGCCACAGTCAATGATCACAAACTGTGGTTTGGATCAACAGAAATGTATGATTCTAAAGCCATAAGTTTAGAACAAGGTATTGGCAAAGCCAGACTCCCTCTGAACACTCCAAGGGCAGAAGGGAATCCTTCCTTGCTTTTTTCAGCCTCTGGTAGCCCTGGGAGTCTCTTAGTTTGTGACTATGTAATATTCACTTATTCTAAATAATAGAAATAGACAGCGGTTGCAGTCTAAGCAGGGTTCCAGGTTCTGATAGCATGTTCCTTCATTCTCCTGGAAATCTTATAAGGAGGGAATACAATTCTCGCCCCTTCTAATTAAAGACTTTATATGACTCCCCCAGGCTATGATGTGAGTAGGTAGATCAGAAGATCAGGAATCAAACCCAGGTGTCTCCACCTGTGAGGCCCATGCCTACTGCAGGCCACAACCTTGCCTGCCAGGTTTGTGTAGGAGAGGGAAGAGGGACGGGAGCCAGAAGAGAACAGCTTCTTATCAGGAAGAAGGGCTCAGTGCCAGAAGAAGAGATACCATGTGACAAATAAATGATCTGCCATTGCTCAGTCCCCTGCTTCCTATACCCCATGTCAGTATAGCCTCTCTCAAACGCTGATGGACAGGCTGATCTGCCTGCCTTGGAAAAGGAGGTGGAAGCCTACAGTATAGAAAGGTTTCAGGACAGCTTTACTAGAAGTACTGCCTATACACACACACACACACACACACACACACACACACACACACACGGCATATGGTTGTTCTCAGAAGAACTTTCTACATAATAAATGGGATTTCGCTTCTTTACTTAACACAGACTCAACCCTGTCTTTGTGTGTCTTCATATACCTACAAGCTTTCCAATTCCAGAACCAAATGACTGGCTTCTCCTCAGAGTGGTTGTGGTTCTTGTGAGGAGTCTCGTGTGTGTGTGTGTGTGTGTGTGTGTGTGTGTGTGTGTGGTCATGTGACAGGAGCCTTTCGTCACACTTGCACGTTGCAGCAAAGCATTCTATATCTGAGATCACTGGCTACACAAAGCTCTCACTAGTCATTGACCACAGCTGCTCGACTATTCCTAGACCATTTCTGTTACAGTAGGAAACACCAGAGAGACTCTTGTTACTCCAGTTACAAAGGATGAAATTCTTGGGAACTCAGAAAAATAATTGAATATGTGTTAGAGGAGGAAAATAAGGCAAGGCTTATTGACATGTAAAATATAAAAAGTCATTTCAGGTCCTACCCCTGAACTCATGAAAGAAAATTTCAATTTAAAATGTCAATATTGTTCAAGTTATTGCTTTGAGTAATCATGAAGGATATCATTTTTCTGCTTTACGTACATGCTTATTTTGAAAAAGTTGATAGGGATGGACTATTCTTGGAAGGACATATATCAGTCGCTGCTGCTGCATAAATATCCTCAAATACTCCAGCTGCCCAGAGTGACTCCGAAGCTAAGACGGGAATCTCGGGGCCGCCTGCCTCTTGCCCCCGGCCCCAGTGCTGAGGTATCCCGTAGGGTAGGACTCCTGATCTCTGAGCTCTGACTTCCCCACAACACAGCTGGGCCTCCCACCTCAATTCAGGTGGAACCGAATCATAACTTATCAAACATAAAATCACTTTCTTCAGACTCTTGGCCAAACTGGTCAAGAGCCCCCTGAACACAGGTTAGGGGGACAGCACCTGCTGATGGAGAAGGGACAGCGTCACACTGTAGGAGAAGGAGTCCCTGAGACGGGAGTTACTGTTGAAGTCATCTGGGAAAATACAGTCCCCTAAGGAGAGACTGTTAGTTTTTAATGCTGGGATGGTTTGCCATGTGCATTACTCAAGATGTGAGCTAAAAGATGGGGACAAACACTTCCATCTGAACGAGCTCTGACAGGGCAGCCGTTTTACCGAGTATACAGGTTATAGCAATAGGAACAGTGGCAGCTACTAAATTTCACAGTGTTCACTCTGTGCCAAATGCTACTCAAGTGCCTTGGCCATGTCAGCCAATCCTAGAGACTGACATGAACAGGAGCTAAAAAACCAGCCCAAAGTTACACACCTGAAAAATGGTCACTTCAAGCTGTGGGCTGAAAAAAATCCCAATCCATGTGCTCTAAACACCTAGCCATCTTCTCTCTCCAGTCCAAAGGAAGAAGTAGAATGTAGCGACAAAGAACAATGAAATGATGTCCAGCATCAGGCCACACGCGACCTCTGTTAGTCCTCACCGTGACCCTGGGTTATCGTGACTGCTGTCTCAGGGAAAAGAGAATCAGGGTTCGGAGTTGCGAAGTAACCTGCACAAACTCAGAGAAATGGAGAATTACCCCAAAGTTCAAGGCCAATCCTCTGCCTCAGTTCTCCAGTTCTTGTTGCTTCTCAGCTTCCGGTCTCAGGGCTATTGTCAGGCTCCACCTCAATCTTTGTTGAGGTAATTCTCCAGAGAGTTTTTTGATTTATTGAGCATACAACATTTGAGGATCTAGCTGGCTGACACAGAGTAGCTTGAATCCCTCTATTAAAAACCTTATCATTGACGATGAGACGTCAGGGGCTTCCCTTACAGTTATGCTTGCCTCTGTAAACTCCTATTGGACTTGAACTATGGCTTTTATCTTAGGTAGTAAGTCTGACTTCTGGCAGGATTTCCCCCTTGCTCCTAAGAATATACCTTACTGAATACATGGCATTTTAAAGAACTTAATTTCTGCCCTACGAGACCAATAAGGAAGCAGTACCTGCCCTGAACAGCTCTGATTTGAAAGCACTCAGCCACTGTGGTTTACGGCACTGTGTTAGGTGGAGCTTCACTGCAAGACATTTGCTGAATATCTTTTTGATCTTGTGCTCCACTTTTGAGTGTCTCTAATCTCAGCTGTAGTTGGGTTTTTGACAGATTCTGAGAAAGTTCCTTGAGCTGCTAAGGAAGAAAGAGGCAGCTTGATTTGCAAATGTTAAGATAAGTTGCATACTCTATTAGTGTGGCTGACAGACTCAGCTCTCCTGCCAGATAGCTTTCTCAGACTTACTTCTTGGGCTGACAACTCGTGTTTTAACTCACTCTTGACCTCGTACTCTGAGTTAAACTGTCTGCCTCTTTCAACAACAAAAATGGCACATGTCATTACTCCAAGTCTGATGCCTTGCTTTCTTGGCTAAGAGGTCGTGAACTTAAGACCTTGTCCATAAAGCAAGTCAAGGATCTTCAATTGTTGATATTCTTATCCAATTAAAATGACATTATTTAAAAGTCACCCCTATTCCTAATTCAAACTGATGATATAGATCATGCTGAGTGACAAATCTCTTAGACATCTACAGAATCTACCAATAAGCAACAATCCAGCATCAACACAAACAGGAAGCGGTGAGTGAGAGATAGATCTCTTCACAGAATCTACAACCTATTCAGATGTACTTGTCTTAGCTTACTTGCTAGCACAATAGTTCTCCAATGAAGAGAACTCTTTTTCATATTCTGTCGATTTGTTCGGTGTTGTCTCAGAAACTTGTTCCCAGGACTTTGCTTTCACTTGGAATCCATTGTCAGTGAAAGTCAAGGGAAAGAAGGGCTGGAGTTTTGCGTGTGACTGGAACCTGTCAGCACTCGGTGGGCCACAGCAAATATCACAGTGGTTGTGATTTATCGGAAGCCTGACTTATAACTCATCTAATGTCCTTGAGGGGTCTTGAGCTGTTGGCAGTGTCTCGTCATACAGTAAACACCCTGCATGACTGCAGGCGTGGTTACAATAACTGAACGTTACGACTCATTTGCTACTGTTGTACCTGGGTGACAGAAGCTGCTCATGAAATCCATTCCAGACAACACTACAATTCACTGCAAATGCTTACAAAATGCGTGCTTTGGTGATTGCCTTCAGGTTTCTATGGAGAATGACAGGAGGGGTGGAAGCCATCTTTGTGTCTTTTGACACACCACTAAAAGCAGCCTTCATCCAGATTAAAAATATATATAAATGAAGCAAATTACCTTCATCTCATCATCCACTCAAGCCAGTAGAGGAGATTGTATCATCTGAGTTGGAAAGGATCCTCTGCCTTCATGATGTAGCTGGGGACAGGAACTCAAGCATCTTTGGACAGAAAATTTCTCCTTCTTTCTCACCATATTGTCTTCACGTCTCTTTTTACACTTGCTCCAGTTTCCCATGGAAATAAGGTTCTTCTCTGGACCTTCACTGTCTGTTGATGTGGGATTCCCCTATGGGTGCTGTGATTCCATTAATGAATAAAGAAACTGCTTTGGATCTATAGCAGGGCAGAACTTAGCTAGGAGGAGAAAATAAAGCTGAATGCTGGGAGAAAGAAGGGTGGAGTTGGGAGATGCTATGGAACCACCGCCAGAGCCAGACATGTCAAAACTTTGCTGGTAAAGCCACAGCCACTTGGTGATACACAGATTAATAGAAATGGGTTAAATTAATATGTTAGAGTTAGCCAATAAGAAGCTAGAGCTAATGGGCTAAGCAGTGATTTAATTAATACAGTTTCTGAGTGATTATTTCAGGGCTAAGTGGCGGGGAACCAACAAGCGGCTCTCTCCTCCAACAGTCTGCTTCCTTCTAACTTCAGCTACAAGTAATTTTGGGATGTTCTCGAGTCAATCTCAATGTAATTTGAAGATATATTATCCAAGACATTTAGACAAAAAGTGTTGGGATTTCAGATTTGGGATTAAAAATTTAGTAATATTTGCATACAAAGTGCGTGTGACCTTAAGGAATAAATTAAAGTGTAAACATAAAATTTATCACTAATTTAATATTATATATACCATATATGCATAGCATGAAACTACTTTTATATAATATTTTTATTTTTAGTATATAAAAGTTATATATAATAATGGATTTCATTATGAATTTTTCATACTTGGGCATAATGTATTTTGATAATACCCATTCCGTTATCCTCTCCTTTCCCACTTCCAATAAACTCCTTCTTCTCAGCTAGGCACCTAGTGCCCTTCTATTTTCCGACCCGTGGGTAAGGGGGGGAGAGTTCCACTGGAGTTATTTGGAGGAGCATTGATAAACGAGTTTTACAAGCACACAGGCCCCTGTCAGTGGCCACACCGCCAAAAGTGCTGAATAGCCCTGCTTGTGTTGAAGATCAAATTAAGCAAATATGGAATTACTCAAATTGTTAGCAAGAAGAGTTCTTAAGAAGAGAATGTGGGCAAAGGAAATGAGGAATTCATCTGACATTGTAATCTTTAAAACTTACCGTGGATGATTAACTTGGGAAGGAGTATGAAACTTTTGATTTCTTGATTATGAGACCATTAAAAACAAAAACTCCTGAGACTGCATTTCAGTCTTTGTACCCAACGTTATTTCACTGTTTTACTGCTAAAATATATATTTCTCCTCAACTCACTAGTTCTCTCCCCAAAGTTGTCTTTTAGAAGGTGGTTTTGTGAACTCTGACCAAGGCTGAGTTCTTTGAGCTTTTCCCATTGCCTCTAGCAGTTTGGTTCAGTTGGACCATTTACCCTGAATAAAAGTGAGGCTGACGGGATGGGTAGGGGTGGGGGGTGGATCTCACACCAGTGAGGAGGGTGGAGCTGGGGATGCTTCTGAGCTCAGACAGACCAAAGAGACTGCGAGCGATCTTGAGCCTTTCTTTCATCATTTACTAACAACCTTTTTCAAAATAATACATGAATTTACTGATTCATGAACTTTGGAAAATATATATCATCTAATATCTGAAAGATTAAAACAAGAATGGCCAGAAAGGAATGCAAATTTAAAGTTTCTAAACTTTTATGACCTAATTTTAATGTTCAAAGTAGAGGTTGCTATATTGTCACAAAGATCTTGTTTCACTTTGCTCCAAATATCTTATCTAGACATGTTTATAGCACCTGCTAGACTACACAACATGTCCAGGTGAGAGAGACAGACAGACATGGACATACATAGAGAGAACCGGAACTTAAGGCTGGCAGCCTTGTTTTCTATCTCTCGAGTTTCCCTCTCCATTCTGATGACTGGAACAAGACAGACAACCACCAAAGCTAATCTGTAGCTCCCTACCTGATGTTCAGAAAACATCTGTTGAATCACTTAGATTCCCTCTCAAGAATGTAAACTAATAAATGCACAGAGAAGGAATCTAAGAAGCGTTATTAGGAGCAAAAGCAGACGCAGTATGCTACAGGTGGGTTGGATTTCCAGTGATCACTCTGCAGAAGCCAGAGAGAAGACAACAGGAGAAAGGAATTTGACACCTATAGGAGAAAAAAAGCAACAGCTTAGCCCCAGAGCCCCAGAGGAGAGATGGGCAGCCTATCAAAGGGTCTCAGTTCTTTCTTAGGATCCAGGTAGAGACTTCAGCAGAAGCCCCTTTTCTAGAAGTTTCCCTAATGAATTTCTCTGTCTCTTGTTATTCAAAACAATCTAATGTCAATGTCTTGTACAGAGTTCATGTGAAAGGGCTCAGGGCTGACAACTTCCATTAGGCAATGGAACTTGATAAGTTGACGTTCAGGATACTGACATTGATCCTTCCAATAATGAAATCTGAGAAAATTTGGCAAGGCATTTGCATGTTGGCCTGCTTTCCTGAAACAAATTTGTCTCTTTTCCTCCCCCAAGCTAATGTAAGCCAACCTCGTATCTCAGTGACAGAGGAGAGAAACCCTAGCAGAGGACTTCAGAGCTATGGAAAGCAGTGTGGGATGTGGGGGGTCACTTATAGTCCATGAGCAAGCAAAAGGTGCGTTAGCAAGGACATACATGACGCCTTGTCATCAGAGTGAGGAGTCAGAAGGGCACTGAACTTGAAGAGTTTTTCAGGAAGTCTGAAACAGCAGAGAGTGTTTGTGCGTGTGTACGCACATGTGTCTATGTGTTCACATGTGTGTGTGTTTGTGTGCGTGTGAGTGCACATGTGTGCGCGTGTGTGCATGTGTGTGTACATATGTGTGTGTGTGAGGTGCTGAGGCAACAGAGTGGTAAGCAGAGGTTGGGCCTATGATTGCTGGCCTCTGTCAGGAGAGAAAGTTGCCATGTGTGATCAGGAGAGTGGTGGACACCTCGTCTGGCTTCAGGAAAGCACAACTCTTACTGGAGAGTCACCCATCACAGTGCGTGACTCTCCTCACTGCACCTCGAGAACAGACGTCTTCAGCCCTGTGGGTTTGGCCTCTGTGGGGCAGGAAGGAACCTAAGTTAAAGTCCTTCGGCTAGAAACATTGCGACTGAAACTGTTGACCCTGACAGACATATAAAGGGATATTCCATGACCGCACCAATAGGTATAAAGTAAAAATACAAAAGAAATAATACATAAATAACTGCCCTAGCTACTGTCCCACTGCTGTGATGAAATAAGCCAGCAAAGGCAACTTAAACAAAATAGCTGATTTTTGCTTACAGTCCCAAAGAAACCAAGTCAATCCTGGTGAGGAAGAAGAGACAGCAGCAGCAAAGCATGGTATCAGGAGCTGGCTTGTCACCCTGTGTCTGCATCGCACTGTGTCTGCATGCAGGAAGCAGATGGGGTGGAGGAAATGCAGGCTGGCACTCAGCTCTTTTTTTTTTTTTCAGCTCAGGACCCCAGCCATGGAAAGGACCTAGAGTGGGTGGGTCTTCATACACACAATCAAAATTATCTGCACAGCCACACCCAGAGCCCTAGCTCCCAGGTGATTCTAGATTCTGCCGAGTTGGCACTGTTAACCAGCACTATAGTTAAAGGGCACCATAGCATACTTTTAAAATGCACGGATTAGGAACCAAATATTTTGTATCTAACGCTCACCTCTGCCGCTTTCAAGCTCTCTAAGCCCCGATTTCTTTGTCTCTATCATGCGGGTGTTGATAGCCTCCACTTTATTCAGTTATTGTGAAAATTAGATATGGTATCTGTGAGAAGTCTTTAAGCCACGCCTGGCACAGGATAAGCACACCGTTATTGTTATTATCATCTGCTGCAGGTCAAGAAGACAGGCAGATTTGCAGAAGATATTTGGTCAGCCACAGGCTGGAAGGAATTCAAGTTCTGTTTGATACTGGTTCTTTCTTTTCTTTTCTTCTTCTCCATTTTATTTTAATATTTCACAACACAGCTGAGCTTTGCCCTTCTCATGCTTCTGAAGGAAGTGTAAGGCCACTAGACTTCATCCTCCCTTAGGGGTGCAGATCTGCAAAATGAAAATGGAAGCTTTACTGGCAAAGTAATGTCCTTTGCTGATTTATCTTTCTGTGTCACTGCAAAACTCTGGTCCTGATGCCACCCTTCTTCCAACAACCTGTCCTTTCTCCCAGATTCATGCAGGAGAAGAACCATAAGCTATTCCCCACCCCCAATCAGTGTATACCATTGACACACTCCAGAACATCCTATAAAACAATCCAGGGTTCAGCACAGAGACACTCTGAGTCTTTGAATGCCAAATTTGCTCCTGCTTCACACATCTTCGGCCAGACTGCTCTCTCTCAGATCCAAGTTCCTCATCTGTACTTCATCTCCTTGACGACTTAACCTTCTGCAACACCTTCTGCTTGAGTCACTCTCTTCTCGCCCACTTTTATCTCTCAGACAGCACTGCCTAAAACTCCTTCCACACTTTCAACACCTGGGTTTACCGTTAGAAACATAGTCATGCAGTTGGGCATTTCCCCACCCTCAGTCATATACAGACTTCTCTAAAGAGTGCTCCCATCCAACCACTGCTGGACTTAATAACCTGTCGCTCAACCCCAGCCTTTGTGACCTAGGGTGGGCTCCTGGCATAAGTAAGCTAAGCTAATCAGAGTCTCTCCCCCCCTAGAATTTGGCATGGGGTGTGAGAGGGACCAAGCAGATTTTATTTATCACAGTGGCTAAGGCCATTGTCTTAGAGTTTCCATTGCTGTGATAAACACCATCACCAAAAGCAACCCAGAGAAGGCAGGATTTCTTTTACCGTACAGCTCCCAGGTCACACTCCACCACTGAGGGGAGTCGGGTCAGGAACTCAAAGCAGGAACTTGGAGCAGGATTGATACTGAGGCCATGGAGGGATGCTGTTTCTCTGATTGCTTAGCCTACTTTCTTATAGCACCAAGGACCACTAGCCCATGGGCAGCACTGCCTACAGCAAGCTGGGCCCTCCCACATCAATCATCAATCAAGATGAAAGTCTACGGTCTCATCCACAGGTCAATCTGGTGGAGTCATTTTCTCACTTGAGGGTCCCTCTTCTCATATGACTCTAGCTTACGTAAAGTTGATATAAAACTGGCGAGCACAGTCCTATAACCTTAGGAACAATAAGGTAAAGTCACTCTGAGAGACAGAGACCATTTAACCTTAGTTTCTGGTCCTATCATCCCCAGGAAGCCCAACTGTCCTTCTTCCCCTTGCTTTCCCTGAACTACAAACACACCTTTGTTTCAAGTAATCAACTACTTAAGGTTAGTAATGTGAATCTCAGACATTTGCAACCAACAACCTATAAATAAGAAAGTACTGCTCAGTCCCAATGTCAAAGCTATAAGTTTTAGATATGATTTTGACAGCATCCCACTTCCGGATACCAATATCCCACCTCTGTACCTCCTCATCCCGACCTTGAATTCTGTGTCTCAGCCTTTCGGAAAACTGCTGCTTTTGAATAAACCTGGATAGTTTCCAATATGTTGAAATATCATGTGGACAGAGAGACTACGCTGGGAGAAAGCACAAAGCCCAGGTGTGGAGGTTTTCCAGCCAAGGCCCTGGAAACGTGAGTGAGAGCAAACGGGACCGTCCTGCACTCAGCAGATGGGCAGCCAACTGCAGTGCACGAGCTGGCTAAAAGGCATGCGGCAGAAAAAGCACCTTTTGGAGCATCATCCACATTCCACCCTGCAGAGGATGTGTAAATTGACTTTTTTTTTTTAAAGCTACTACATTTTGGAATCTTAAATTCTATAATAATAGGTACTTGATAAAATACTATCCTCTAAAGTCGTTTGTGTAAAATCTCTAATTATAAACTAAAAAATATGTTTAAGTTCTATTTCAACTTGACAGTCATATGATTTTACTATAAATAAACTATTCTAAGACGTTTCTCTATTGAATATGATACATGTAGACCTGAACATAGGGCAAGTGTGTGATACATGCAGAAAAAGAATATACAGTTTTTAACTGCCAAGGTGGGGAGAGAGGGAAAGTAATGATGTTTTATTGATTTATTTTTTTATGTCCATGTGTTTGTGTGGGGTGGTATGTGCACATGTGAATGCAGGTGTCCACGGCATCCAGAAGAAGGTGTTGGAATCCCTGGAGCTGGAGCCGCTGGATGTGGATGCTGGACACTGAATCTGAAAGAGCAGGAAGCACTCCTAGTCTCTGAGCCGGATCTCCAGCTCTGGCAACTGATATTTCTAAAGGAGCATTTTCTGTTTGCTTTGGTATTCTTTCTGGTTTAAACATCTGTTGGTCTGGATGCAGATAACAAGATGTTTTTAGCATCTGTTCAAATGTTCCTTGCTTGATAGAAATTTGTTTTGCTTTCTTTGTTTTTTCTCATAGTGTCTCCTTAGTCTTGGAACTCAGTCAGTTTTGTCTTGGTTGTTGTATATTTGCAGCTTCCTTTTAGTTAACAGCAGATCTTTTTGGTATATTGACCACAGCCAATCATAAGCCAATGAAAAGGCCCTATCTCAAATAACTGACCAGTGAGCAAGCAAAGAGAAAGGTAGCAGGAACTAAACTGACAAAGCAGAGGAATGTCTTGTGACTTAACAATTTTATTTTGTGGCCTTCAAATGTTTAATTCTCCCACGATGGCAATTGCACCACCACCTTAGCTTAAGCACTTTCAAGAGGAATGCAAATGTCATCTCATCTTATAATTTATCTTCCGGGAGCAGTTATAACTTCTACTTGTTATCTGGTGCTCATTCCTACTTTAATTGTTGACCATGGGGTAAGTTCCATCTGTGCTGAATGTGTCAATGTGCCCTTGGACTGTTTCTGTGAGTGGGCAGGCACGTGGCAATGGAGATGCGGTCATGCTGATGTCTGTGTTGATTTTGCAGTTGAACACACCCGATCCCTTTGCAGTCATAACAGCTGAACTGTAAATATTATGGAAAGGCTAAGATAAAATGAGTATGGCCAGCATGGCTTAAGGTCAAACAATACATATAGACTGTGTGTGACCTCTAACCTCAAAATTTAGCCCTGGTTTCCTAACAGAAGCAGAGCACTGTGTGCTCCCTTGTAACCACACTGTTGTAGAGCACTTCACAGTTTAGAAAGTGTTCTCATTTGGGCTCATTTCTTATTTGATTCTGAAATTTGAGTTGCCACAACTGGAACATTTGACATTTCACAGGAGAGCTCTGCCAGCCATAGGAAGCCAAATTACATCCCGGATGCAAATCGTCTCTGGCTCCTGCATAACAGCTGTCCACTGATCACTGTGCCTCCACCATAAGAGACTCCATCGGTCAGGTGTGCAGCCACAGGACTGAGCGTAGCAAGTGCACGAAGCTGTCAGCACACATTGCCTGACTGTACATGGGCCAGTTACAATGCATTATCCAGTTTTAGTTCTTAAATTCCTGTAAGGTAGAAAGGCGGAGACGTAAGAGTCTCACTTCCCAGACGGGAACGCTGAGGCAGGCATACAAAGAGTGCTATGGAACTGTGGTCTCTGAATCCACAGGCAAGCCTCTCCCCATTCGCCTTCCCACGCCTCTTCCCTTGCGTTCCCCTTCCAGCAGTGCTATAGGAGAGTCTTCTTTCTATGTGTTGTTTTCATTGGTTAAATAGAGAGACTGCCTTGGCCTTTTGATAGGACAGCAGCTTAGCTAGGCAGAGTAGACCGAACAGAATGCTGGGAGAAAGAAAACAGAGTCAGGCAGATGCCATGGCTCTCCTCTCCGAGATGGACGCTGGTTAGACTCATGCCGGTAAGCCACAGTCAAGTGGCGATACAGATGATTAGAAATGGGTTAATCTAATACGCGAGACTTAGCCAATAAGAGGTTAGAACTAATGGGCTAGGCAGTGTCTAAGTGAATATAGTTTCCGTGTAACTATTTTGGGTAAAGCTAGCCGGGAGCTGGGTGGTGGGAAGTGGCACAGCAGTGCACAGGAGTCAGGAATCCGCTATCTATGCCACCTCATTGTTAGAAGTTCTTAGTTTTGGTAATTCTAACGTGGGGCTAAAAAAAATGTAAAAATAAATTCCTTTAAAGATCATTTATTAGGTAGCTTTGAAAACGCAATCTTGAGTTCAAGAAAGCATTCTGGGGTCTCTCATGACATCTATATAGGCAAACTTTTTCATTGATGACGTTTTGTTATTTCAACAACTATTCCAGACTCCAGTGGTTTCCACTGTCAGAGAGAAACTGGTCAAATTTCATCACAGCCCAGTAGGCTCTATGTGGCCTGCCTCCTTACCTACTTCTGTCCCTTCATCTGAACCCCCTCTTTTCATGCACTCAGTATACTATAACAGTATGGGTTTCTTCCTGGCTTTAATATACACCACACTCACCCAGCCAGGGCCACTTACATTTGTGGGGTTTGCTTCGTGAACACCACAGCCCCTTGGATCTCGCAGGGGTGGCCAATGCCATCATCGATCTGCTCAAGGTCCTCCTTGGAGAATCTCCCAGGTCATCTTGCTAAGTGAGAAACACTGGGTACATATTAATGCATATAGTATACTCCCATTCTTTATATTTTCTTTATACTTATAGAGAGAATATATATTTATGTAGAGAATATATATTTTTATATATAGAATATATATTCTTTGTATTTATATAGACTATTGTAAGAAAAACAAATAAGAAATGAATCATGATGGTGGCCACTAGGGAAGACTGTATGATATAATTGAGATTAAAAGACTGAAGAGATGGCTCAGTGGTTAAGAGCACTGACTGCTCTTCTGGACCTGGGTTCAAATTCCAGCACCCACATGGCAGCTCACAACTGTCTGTAATTCCAGTTCCAGGGAACCCAATGCCCGTGGCAAAATACCAATTCACATAAAATATATTTTGAAAGAGAATAGATTTTTTCCTCTCTTTTGTAATATTTGAGTTTATTTTCTCTACTACTTATTGAAATAATTGATATAATTTTCAAAGAATTATACAAAAGGATTCATTAGATTTTCTGAAACAAACAAATTGGAAGTAGAAAGGGAATACATATTTGATACTTCACTAAATTCAAGAATTCAATTGCATAGAACCTAGAGAGTAGGCAGATCCTGATTACAAGCAACGTATCTAATATTTTATTAACTATAAGTGCAGTCTATCCAAACCCCAAATCACTGACTGTGTTCAATGCATCTATCTAATAGCAGAATACATGTTATTCTCAAGCACACAAAACTTGATCTGTTCTCCAGGACAGATCAAGTACAGTCACAAAGCACAGTATAGCAAGCCTAAAGAGACTGATGTAGCATCAGTTATAGATCTTAGCTATAACAGGATGAAGATAGAAATTAATTTTGGAAGGTAAATTTAAAAATTCACAAATAGGTATAAACCAAACAGTGTACTCTTGAGCAATCAGTAGGCCACGACAGAAACAAAAGAAAAGAACAGAAAAATACTATGAAATAAGTAAAAAAGGAAATATAATATTCACAGTTTATTGAATGCAGTAGTAAAAATGGGATGAATGAAAGTTGCCAGGATGCCTACTTTAAAAAGGGGAGTGCCTCAGGGCTGCACAGATGGCTCGTGGTTAAAAGCACTTGCTCTTCTTTTAGAGGACCCATGGTCAGGTCCCTACTGCCGCTTGTAAGGTACCAGATACCTTCTTCTGTATTCCACAGCACCTGCTGCCCTCTGCCCCTGGCTTGCACCCACATACACACAAACACGTATGTAAAAACAAAACTTTCTAAAATTAGAAAAAGAAGCTTCTTAAGTTAGCAATCTGATTGTACGTTTTGTAGAAATAGAAGAGGAAGAAAGTGGGACCCCAAGATTAGCAGGAGGAAAGCTACATAGAAGAAAGAAAACATTAGAAACAAACAAACCACAGAAATAAACAAGAGTGTGTGGTTTTGAAAAAAAAATCCATAAAACTGATGAGCTGTTAACTAGAGTAATTGAAACAAAAGTATACAAATAAATAAAATCAGAAACTGAAAGAGATGTTGTAACAGACGCCACAGAGGTATAAAGAACTGTGAGACTTCTCTGAGGCTCTGCATCTCAGGAGTGAAAATGCGGAGAAAGCACAGCCCATCCCTACAAGTGTGCTCTGCAGCAGTGATTCTACCTGTGGAACGGGACTGCTTTCCGGGATGAGTGATCCTGCCACAGGGCCGCATATCAGACATCCTGCATATCAGATATTCGCATTATAACATAACAGCAACAATGACAGTAATTTTCTGGTTGGGACCACAACCATGAGGAACCTCAGGAAAGGGCTGCAGCGTTAGGAAGGTCGAGAACCATCGCCCTACAGACTGCGTCACTACAACACAGGAAATCTACACCGACTGAAGATGACTAAGGAGATTGAATTAATCATCGAAATTTTCTTAACAAAGGATAGGTTTCACCAGTGAATTGTATCAAATAATTAGAGAATGATGTCAAGTCTCCAACAATTAAAGAGGAAAGAGCACTTCCCAATTTATTTTCCAGGAAGGGTATTCTTATGCCAAATCTAGATAAATGTACCACAAGTTCCAGAAGTCCAGGCCTCTGTCATTGCTTCATCACACAGCCGCTCCCTGGTGCAGCTCTCACTGGTGCCCTGTCGTCTACCAAGAGTTCTTCAACAGAGTAGAGCCCGGTGTCTCTTGAGCCTCTGGAAGTATGCGAAAAACACACACATCTTTAATTTTTAAAAATTACTCAGCCTCAAATATTTTGTTACAACAGCTGGAAACTGGAAAATACATAATGCAAATGTGCTCAGTTGATCTTACAAGTCTATCAAGAAAAAGTCTTGCCGGGTGGTGGTGGCACACGCCTTTAATCCCAGCACTCAGAAGGCAGAGACAGTTGGATCTCAAGTGAGTCTGAGGCCAGCCTGGTCTGCGGAGTGAGTTCCAGGGCAGGCTTCAAAGCTATGAAAAAAACCCTGTCTTGAAAAAAAAAAAGAAAGAAAAGAAAAGAAAAGAAAAGAAAAAAAGAAAGAAAAAGAAAAGAAAAAAGCAAAAGAAAAGAAGTCTCTTCAACAATGAAATGGAACAAACAAAGAATTAAAAACACAAATGAAAGAAATTGTACCTAGCAATTTATGTTGGAATATACTTCAAAATACTTGCAACAAAATAGTAACAAGCTGAATTTAACAGCCCATTAAAGGGATTATACATCATAACCAAGTGGATTGAGTCACAAAATGCTTGGAACAGTTCAGTGTCTGAAATGTAGTACAGCACAGAACACTGGATAAAGATCACACAGTCCTGAAACCAAAAAGGCCCCTTTTCTAAGACTGGGAGCAAAGCATGCATGTCCACACCTGGCTGCTTTCACTCAACACAGAACTGGACATCTTCAGAATAATACAAAAGTCATTAAAATTAGAAAGAAGGGTAGTAAAATTATCTGTGTTCTACAGCAAATCTTGAAGACTCCAAAAAAACACAGCTAATAAATGAATCCAATAAAGTTGCAGGATGCAAAACTCCCTTGCATGTCAAAACACTAAGAATAAGCAATGCAGACCAGGTGTGCTCCTTTAATCCCAGCACCCAGGAGACAGAGGCAGGTGAACCTCTGGGAGTTCAAACTCAGCGTGGTCTACAGTCAGTTCCAGGATGGCCAGGAAAAACCCAAACCCAAACTCAAACCCGAAACTAAAACAAACAAACACCATGCTAAAAGGGCATTTTAAACCACATTGTGTATGTGTGTGTAGATTTGGGAATCAGTTATTTCCTTCCACCATGTGGGTCCCGCATATTGAATTTATGTCACTATACTTGGGTTTTTAAAATTATTTTTGGTTTTGGGGGCTCACTATACAACTCCCAAATAAATACAGGGAAGCTTATTCTTTCTTATGAATGCCCAGCCTTAGCTTGGCTTTTTTTCTAGCCAGCTTTTCTTAACTTAAATTATCCCATCTACCTGTTGCCTCTGAGCTTTTATATTTCTATATTCTCTATACCTTTCTTACTTCTTACTCTGTGCCTGGCTGTGTAGCTGAGTGGCTGGCCCCTGATGTCCTTTTTTTCCTCTTTTTTCTTATCCCTCCTTTTCTTTCTCTCCTATTTATTCTCTCTGCCTGGCAGCTCCACCTATCCTTTCTCCTGCCTTGCTTTAGGCCATTCAGCTCTTTGTTAGGCCAATCGGGTGTTTTAGACAGGCAAAGTAGCACAGCTTCACCGAGTTAAACAAATGCAACATAGAAGAATGCAACACATCTTTGCGTCATAAATATTCCACACATAAACAAATGTAATATATCTTTAACTAATATTCCACAGCAGGTCATAACAGCAAGTTCCAGAAGATCCAAGTTCAGATCAAGTATTCTTTTCTGGTACCCTGACGATCCATTTCACTGGACCCAGAGAAGAGACTTTTTAAAATCCTACTTAGTATAGTTTCAAAAAGAATAAAACTTAGGAACAAATATGGCCAATGAGTCTACTCTTGTAGACCATTAACTTGCTAGAAGAAACTGCCAAATGAACAATTCTGGATTAGAGACATATTTGCCTGCTTGTATTAGCCAGAAACTGCAAATTCGATGCAGTGCCAACCAAAATAATCAATGGCACTTTTTGCAGAATTGTAAAATAATGAGCTAAATTTTTGTGTTGAGGCACAAACATTGATGATTTGCCAAAATGATCTTGATAAAGACTCAAGATGGATGTCTTAGAATTACTGGCCTCAAAATCTAGTCAAGGCGGAATGAATCAAGACAAATATGGTAGCAACATAAAAAACTGCAGATTAAGCAAGCACGGCAGGATGTGCCTGTAGCCCAAGCATTTGGGATCCAGGAATATCACAAGTTTGAGGTCAGCCTGGGGTAGAGAGGGAGACTCTGCTTTAAAAATATAAGGACAGGCTGGAGAGATAGCTCAGCAGTCAAGAGCATCTGCTGCTCTTCCAGAGGACTTAAATCCAGGTTCCCAGCACCCACATTGACAGCTCACAAATACCTGTAACTCCAGATCCTGGGGATCTGATGCCCTCTTCTTGCCTCTGAGAGCACTGCAAACATATGTGCAAACACACACACACACACACACACACACACACACACACACTAATAAAATAAATGTTTTAAAAAGAAAACAGCAACAACAACAAAAATAACACGCAGACCAACAAATGAGCTCATGAGCTATGGATGTGTTTGGCTCACCTGTGCCACCTGAAGAGGTTATTTGTGGGAAGTGTGGTCTCCGGTGTGGAACCTTTGGTGGTGGAGTCCAGAGGGAGGCAATTAGGTTATGGGAAACACTGCCCTCTGAAAAGATTAAGGCTGACTGTTATAGTTACATTTTAAGTGTCCCTAAAAGTTCCTGTGCTAAGGGTTTGGTTTCTAGTCTGGTTAATGATGTGGTAGAATCTTTAGAAGGTGGACAAGGTCACTGGGGTATGCCCTTGGAGGGACGTTTGGGACTATAGCCCCCAGCATCCTTTGTTTCCCAGTTACCATCATGGGTATAGATTTACCCAATCACACGTTCCTGTCATGATATTCGGCCTCACTACTGGCCCCAAAGCAACAGAGCCAAGCAATTATTGGTTAAAACCTCTGCAACTGTGAACTAGTGCAAATGTTCCTTTAAAGTTATTCATCTCCAGAGTACTGGTTATAGCCGTGGAAAGCTAACTAACACATAGACATTGCAGAGAGTATTAGTTCTCATAAGAGGGAGTTGTTAGAAAATAATCAAAACTGGGTCTTTCCTATTCTCTGACTTCCTACCTTCTAATATGACATCTGCCTCCTACATATGCTCCTGTCATTGTGCTGTGACGTCATCTACCAGAAGACTCTCACAATAGCCAAGCAAAACCTGCTTCTGCATTGGATCTTTGGAACAATGAGCAAAATCCCCCCTCCCCTCCCCCTTTCTCTCTCTCCTCTCCTTTCCCCTCTCTTCTCCCCTCCCCCCTCTCCCCTCCCCCTCTCCTTCCATCTCTCTCTCCTTCCCCTCCTCTCCCCTCCCCTCCCCTTCTCCTCCCTCCTTTATTTTCTTTTTTCTTTAACCCTTCATCTCCTCCTCCTCTCCTCTCCCCAAACTGCCCAGCCTCAGATATTTCACTAGAGCAACTGAAACCACAATGATATATATATATATATATATATATATATATATATATAACATAAGAAATATATATATATATGACATATGGTAACCTAATTTTTGGCAAGTGTGCCAAGACAGGCAAAGCCAAGGACTGTTTTAACAAATGGCATTGGAACAACTAGAAATCCACACACAGAGAAATGGAATTGGATCTTCATCTTACACCATATATGAAAACAATTAGAAATGGATAAAAGATTTCAACATGTGACCTCTAACAGAAGGGCTGGACATGTAACTCAGGGATGGAATACTTGCCTAGCATGTACAAAGCCCTGGGTTTTACTTCTCACACTTAAAACATGCCATGCCAGGGCTCAGTTACACACACCTTTCACCCCAGTATTTAAGAGGCAGAGGCAGAGGCAGAGGATCTCTGTGAGTTCAAGGCCAGTCAGGGATAGAAAATAAGACCCTGTTTCAAAAAAACAAACAAAAAAAATGCCAAGACCTCAAATTCTTAAACTCTGAGAGTGAGAAGACCATAGATGGGAAAGAGTTGGGGGCGTCCACATGGTTGGTTGGTTTCTGGGCTGTGTACAGATAACAAAGCAAAGGTGGCAGGCAGAGCTGCATCAGAATGAAGGACACTCAGTGAGCCAAGCGGCCCTCAAGCGTCCGAGAGAAAACCGTCTGCAAACTGCCTGTCTGGCAAGGGCTTAATATCTAAACTAGGCAAAGAGTGCCTGTCCTCCCAAAGCAAAAACAAACAACACAGACCTCAGCAAACCCAAGCAGGCGGAAAATGTGCAGAATTTAAATTGGCATTTATTTAAAGACGTTGTACAAATCTGCAGCTATCAACAGATGTTAATACATCAACAGATACAGCAAAAAAGATACTTAGGATCAGTAAATTGCCAATCAAAACCACGATGCAGTTCACGTCATGCCTGTTAGGACCACTTCACAAGGAAAAAGAAAACAGAACAGAAAGTCACTGCTGGGGAGAATGGGGAGAAATGAAGAGCAATGGGAACCTTTGTGCCCCGTTAATAGGAACAGAAAATGGCATGGCTTCTGATGAACACAGGATGGGGGCTCCTCAAAGCAAGCAAAACATTCCCAAACTGTCATACAAGCTGACCAACCTACATCTAACTACTTTTAAAAGAGCCAAATTCCAGATCTCTGTGAGATATTTACTACTGTGTTCACAGCAGCATCACCTACAGTGTCCATCAAAAAGGAATGGGGGAAGAAAGGAGAATAGTCAGTCCAGACAAGGAAATCTTGTCACGTTCTGCAATGTGGATGTGTCTTGAGATTATATGATATTCATAGTAAGCAGGTCATAGAAGGATCCAAAGCAATCAGCCGAACATAGAAGAGAGGCTGTGGGGGAGGGAGGGAGGGAAGAGGAGATGCTGCTCAATGGGTGGAACAATCCAGTCATGCACCAGGCAAAGGTTCCAGGACCCTGTGGTAGAACACCGTTTATAATCCACAATACAGGAACGTGTTTGTGCTCAAGATGGATGAAGCTAGGTCTCACATTGCG